CAGTCTTGTAAACTGGAGGTCCGTAGTTCGATCCTGCGTGGAGGCATCCTTTTTTTGTCTTTTATTCGTTTTCGAAAAATATCTCAAGTCAATAAGTTTGTATTGTTAAAAAGAAAAAGAAACGAAAGCTTCAATATGATTTCTAATAAATATGAAATAGATTGAAATGAAGTTTTTATTTCTCTCACGTCTATATTTAATATAAAATCTATTTTGATTAATTGATAATCTACATATTGTTTTTTTCTCATATATTAAGAAAGTAAAATGTGAATATGAACAGATGTTTATCAATTTTGATTTGATTAAAAAAAAATAGTAAAGTAATGTAATTGTTTTTATAAACTCATTTGTAAAAATGTTGTTTATTATTTCAATAATCCTATTAATTTTAAATTCAATAAATGGACTAAATTATCGTCCAGTGGTATTAATGCATGGTGTAACAGCTAGTGCATCTGATATGAATGAATTAGCTGGATGGATTCGTCAATCATTTGAAGGAATTTATGTTGTTGCAATCGAAATTGGAAATGGTTTTGAAGATTCATTTTTATTTCCAATGAATAAACAAGTTGAATTATTTTGTCAAAGTATATTATCAGATTCAAAATTAAAACAAGGTTTTAATATGGTTGGAGTTTCTCAAGGAAGTTTAATTGTTCGAGGTGCTGTTCAAAGATGTTCATTACCTGTTTATAATTTAATAACATTAGTTGGTATTCATCAAGGTGTTTTCGGTATTCCAAGTTTACAATTCCTTCCAGCACCATTTCGTGAATTAATTTCAAAATATGCATATGAAGAACCTGTTCAAAATGCTTTAAGTGTTGCTGGATATTGGCGTGATCCTTATCATTTAGATGAATATTATAAAAAATCTCATTTTCTTCCTGATATTAATAATGAAGGTAAAACAATAAATGAAACATATCGTTCAAATATGTTAAAATTAAATTCATTTGTAATGACATATTCGGATAAAGATGAAGTTGTTTCACCAAGAAAATCAAGTTGGTTTTTGGGTTATAAACCAAATTCACTTGATGTTGAAATATGGAATCAATCAAGACAATTTACAGATGATCTTATTGGTTTAAGAACATTATCAGAACAAGGAAAATTGTATCAATTTACATGTCATACAAAACATCAAGATGCTCAACATACTCCTGATAAAGATTTTATTTTTAAAAATATTTTACCATTCTTTAATAATACATTGTAATCTTTATTAATATTATTCATATATCTATAGAATTAGTTTAGATGATTTTTTCATAGTTGAAGAAAATTTTGTTTTTCTATTATAATTTTAAAATATTAATAAAGTTAAATTCTAATTCAGAAAATTCTTTCGTTCTTACCTCTTTTCAATAGAAAAATAATTTATCATATCTTTTTGACACATTATGAAATGTACTTTTATTTCTATTTTATTTTTCTTCTTCAATACTACGAATCTTCTTTTTTTGAATTTTAAATATTTGTATAAATATATTGACATTATTCAGTCAATGATATTCAATAGTTCATTTAATTGAAATAAAACCATCTTATATTTTTAATTCTAATACAATATATGTTGAATGTATTTATCAGTTTATTTAACTCACATCAATGAAAAACTACTTATTTGAATAATCAAATATTTATATAAAAGATTTCATATAAGATGTTTCGATCATAAGTAGCTCTTAGATGCATTTTATAATAAAACATAAAGATTAGAATATGACGCATATTATTTAACTAAATATATCGAATGTTTTTGTATATTAACTTATTGATATGATAAATACTAATCTACATGAATACATATTTATATAATATGAAAATATAAAATAAATAGATTATTTCTTACATGTATATATATAAAGTAAAAATCATTTGTTAGATTTTTAGTAATAGATTTATATACATAATTATTTATGATGGGATCTATTGGTATGTTAGTATTAAGAAACAATTCTGATACTGAATTAGAACTATACATATATTATTCAACAATTCAAATGACTCAATTAGTTTATGAAAAAATAATTCTTATAACTTATTCAATTATTCTTCTAATAAGTATAATTCAAACATTTTGGAAGAATAAATATATTGATAATTTCTTTACTTATATAAATGATGCTTATTCTGATGGAAAATTTGTATCAAATCAAGTTTCTATTGATCAACAAATAATAACTTGTTATCGATTTGATCAACGTTTCTCTTTAATTCCAAATCCTAAGCGATTAATTTTACCAATTATTACTACTCATATACAAATATTATTAATTATTGCAATTCAAACAATATTTATTCGAAAAACTGAATTAATAGAAGATGTTTGTCATTTTATTCACCATATGAAATACTTCAATGTGATGATAATAATGATCCATGTCAATTAAATAATACTGGATATGTTCCAAAATGTACTTATTATTATTTTGAAATGTCTCATGTAATAACAATGATAACATCTCTTATAACATGGCATTATGGACTTCGTTATTTAGTTATTAAATTAGTTCGATTTATTCGATGGATTATGTTTAGAAATGATGATCAACCACGAATTTTATGTTGCATTTGTTCTTGTTTTCGTTCAAAACAACGTATTATTAAATATATTATGTATTTTCAATATATTGGTTTGTGGATTTATTATTTCTGTATGGTATTCCTTGGTTTTATGTTTAATCTGAGCATCACACGTACTACTGTTCTTACATTAGGATCTGTTTGGATGCCTATACTATTAGCAGTAGATCGATTATTGGGACTTATTGCAGCTATCATACCTGAATTATTAGAAAATTGGTTAAATATATCAGCAAAACTCGAATATTTACAAATTTTAAATTCTAATCATTTGCATCTCAAGAATTTCGAACCTCTTATTCATTTGATTAATAAAAAAACAAAAAATTCTAAATTAACTGCAGACAATAAATTATCAAACAATATCAAAACTATTATCGAATAAACAATTTCATATGTAATTATATCAAATCATATAGAATGTCTTTGATTCATTTGAATTTAACAAACTTTTAATAATATAAATATTTTTTATTCAAAGATTTTATTATGATTGAAAGATCAATAAAATCTCTCTGTACAAATAGATATTTTTAAATTATAATTTATTATATCAAACCGGCCTGAAACGACTATAAAACGGCGTTTCACGGTCTTGTTTTTAGTCGTTTTTTACCGTTTACGGCGCCGTTGTCTTTGCCCTGGGTGTTAAAGTTTTCCCAATGAAATATATTTGTTAACTATTTTATAAAAATCCATATCGAATAAAATGATATGACAGAATAAAAAAACAAATATAATTAGTGTTCATATATCGAGTTCTATTCGATTATGATATGTAATTTTATTTAAATATGTAGATTCTTATATGATTTATTGAATAAGCAAAATAATTATGAAGAAGAGTGAATCGACAAAAAGCATGTGTGTATAAATTAGTTACAATGTACATTATTTGTTATAATATGTTCTTTTTTTTGTACAAGCTGTCAAGCAATATGACAATGAGATAAAATGTCATGATTAATAATTTAAAAAGAAAAAAAATAATAATTATGAAGTTTGCCTGTAGTATTTTAAAGTTTCATAAATTTTTGAACTCGCAGATTTCCTACATCACCAATATACATATTCATTGCTGAATCAAATGCAATACCACGTGGACCATCTAATTGGATTGCATCACTACCTGCAGAACCATTTCCAGCAATAGTTGCGCCAATATTACTATTAGCACAAAATAACTGAATTCTATTATTTTGAGTATCAGCAACATAAATATTCATATAATTATCAAGTTTAATTCCAGTTGGATAATTTAAAAGAGTTGAATTTGAACCTGATACACCCGGTTTACCAGCAACGAATACACCTGATGAAGCACCTGGAGTCCAACGTATAACTGAATGTCCATTAGTATTTGTTATAAATAGATCATTACTTATAGATGGTAAATAATGAATACCCCATGGAGAGTTCAATGATGTATTTGCATTGCTAGTCCCAGTTCCACCGGCTACCAGAGTTCCATTAGTACCTGAAGTTGAATTTGTTAAATAACGTAAAATTCGATGATTTCCAGAATCAACAATATACATATATGTATCCGTTGAATCAAAAGTAAAATATCGTGAAGTATTTAATTGATTTAATGCAGATCCAGCTGATCCATTTACACCAGCTAAAGATGTTGCATTTTTTGATCCATTAATGTACTTTTGTATGCGATAATTTCTAGTATCAGTTACATATATATTTCCATATATATCAACATAAACATCATTTACAAAATTTAATTGAGAACTATTTAATTTTGGTGATCCAAAGGTTTCAGCTACAACCATTGTACCTGGAACTTTTCTTAATAGTTTCGATACAATATAATTAGCGTTCTCATCCGCAGCATATAATTTATCATTTAAATCAATAAATACACCAGATGTTATTATTGGTGAGGATGAACTAAGTATAGTGATACCAGTTTTATTCCAAAGTAAATTACCAGATGTACCTAATAATTAACAGAAAATAATGATTAATTATTCAATATTTTATATCATCGGATGAATCAGTCAAATAAATAAAAAACAAATATAAAAGATCTTCATAAACGCTATCGCACTAAATATTATAACTGACTAGAATATCTCGTTACTTACATGGATTTTTTGTTGTTGAAGACGCGCTTGACGTAGTAGCTTCACTAGCTGTTGTACATGAACTAGTGCTGCTCGAAGTAGTCGAGGTAGCACTAGTTGTTGCACATGAATTAATAGTAGTTGTTGTAATCGAGATAGTACTACGTGTGGTAGTCGAAGTAGTAGTAGTAGTAGTTTTATTAGTTGTTTTATTTGAACTAGTATTGGTTTCATTAGTTGTAGTAATTGCTATAGTAGCATCATTACTTTTAATGCTTGAACTAACATGAATTGCGGTATTAATTTTACTAGTTATAGTAGTTGCAGTAGTACTACTTGAAGTTGTTGTTTCTCTAGCTGTAGTAATTGTACCACCAGTATTTGCAATAGTTGGAGTAATTCTGTTTGCCATAATAGATTTTATGCTATATAAACAAATGATTATATTGGGTAAAACAAAGAATAATGAAATAGTTTCGATCATTAATTACTATATAAACTTGTTCATTTTTTACTATTTTAATAATTTACTTAATCAATAACTAATACATAACAATTATTGATATATGAGGAAAAAAAAGATTTGTTTATGTAAAGATTAGTAATGATAAAGAAATTTAATGAAATATTTTTAATCGATTTGGTTAACATTGAAAAATATCGAAAATATAATTGAATTTTTGTGAAAGTTAAAGATTTGATATTGTAATTATTAAATGAATTTCTTGTTTTTTATATTTATCATATATTATACATAGTGAACTGATAATCATAATAAACAAAAGATCAATCTATCATATATCTAACAAAATCTCAATATTTACTTCGATAAACTTCTACAATTTTCTAATGAAGATCTTTGCGATTAATTAAAAACAAGAAATAATATATGTTCGTAATCTATTTTCTGACTATTTTTATATTCTCTAATTGTAACTTTACTTTTAAACATTCAACCTAATACTATAATGATTCTCAGACAAATAAATCCTCGAAGTCAATCTGAATATAAAATTAAACTAAAAACTATATTAGTTAAAAAATTTTGCTCATAAAATAATTTGTAACTTACTTTGATGCTTCTGCTATTTTATGTGACATAGCTAAAATAAATTCAATGAAAATATTTTTCTAATCTATGTGTTTATTATTGTATTAAATAATAAGAATAACTTACAATTAAATAATTGTTCATTATCAAGAGTAATCATTGTTATAACATCTTGTTGTTGAATTAAATTTCCATATTCTATTGATATATTTGAAAATATTTCACATCGATGACTCGATAAATCAAAAGTTAAAAGATAACATTGTAAATAATTTAAACAAAACATTTGACATTGTTTGGAATTTTTTTCAAACATAATAATAGATGGAGAACAACCGGTTTCATTACATATGTATTCTATATCAACAATCTTTTTTAACATAACTGATCGACTATTTTCACACTTATATATTATTATCGATAAAAATAATAATAATAATATTGTCTTTTCCATTATCAACAAAGATTTGAACTAAAAAAACAATATCTTCTAGAAAGAACTCTTTTTTTTTAATATTTAAAGTAAAAGAAAAATTATTGATCATATATTATATAAAAAATGAACTTGAAGTTCTCACTCGTTTTTAGGAATAAATTTTTCTTCAATAAAAATCAAATTTGATAATTTATTCCCAGAATAAGAAGATTGAATAAGACATACTCGAAAAAAATAGGTTTTATTTGACTCAATTACCTCTTTTACTAATAAAGTTCTATTATATAGGTTTACTTCAGAAACAAACAACATTTTCAAAACTGTAAAAAAGAACAACTTGATTACTTACTTCATTTATAAAATCACTTTAAAGTTAAACACATGTAATTTTCAATATCTCGAAGTAAATTGAAAGCCTTTATTTTTACTCTACAAACAAATGTATATAATATGTTAACGTACTTTTATAAATGAACTAACTGTTGAAGTCATATTCTCAGTTAATTATATTTTTCTCTCAAACATATTTTCAAGTTTCTAGAACCTTCTTAATAAAACAAGTAACAGAATCAAACAAAAGCTATTTTGTAGAGTATATTTTATTATTTCTTCTTCTCATTCTCGCGATAAATTTTACTGAAGAATAATTTATTATTCACAACTTGTCGCCAACCATTTATATGAAAAAAAAAAGAATTAATTTAGTAAAAAGTATTTTACTTCTCAAGGTTATGATATTCAAGTAAATAGTTTTTCTATTTCAATTTTGTTAAAAGAAAAAAAAAATTGTAGTGAGATATTTCACATATTATTAAATCCTAAGATGAACAACTTAGATTATTTTATAATTTAAATTTAAAGAATTAATTGTATGTATATTCTAATGAATAATAATAATAATATATTTGAAGAAAATATTGAAAATGGTATTAAATGAATAGAAAACAAATGTTTGAATAAAAATGATGAATATTTCTAAAAAAAGAAGAAAAATCTGTCATAGAAAGAAATCGTTTTAACCAGCTGAAGTGAATTTTTTTGTTCGACCTTTTTGTAAAGATTTTAAAACATAATTAACAGTTTTATCTAACATTTTTTTATTTTGTACGCCAATTGAACATGATGCTGGATTATTACATGTATACCATGTTGTTCGACTAATTTTATTTTGATCATCTTGATGAATATCAACTAATTGAAAAGTTTTTTGATTATTTTGATCCAAATAAATTTTTTCTTGAAGTGTAAAAAATTTATCTTGTTGTTTTTCTTTTGTACATGCTATTGGTTTTATAAATGTTGATGTTATATTTAATTTTTTTGCATCTTGTTTTGGATAAATATTTCCTGAACAACTAAGAATATCTTTATGTCCACCTTTAGCTAGAATTAATATTTTCTTTAAATTTTTACTAAGTAAATTTAAATCAATATTAATTAATGATGTTACAATTGATTGAAGTTTAGCTAAAGATAATAATTGATAATCATCAATTATTAATAAACTTGTTGCATATTTTAAATCTTCAATAATATCTGTTGTTAATGTTAATAAAGATTTATTTAAATTTGAATTTGTTAATGATGATGATACTGCACGTATATGAATTCTTTCTTCTGTATGATTTGCATAAACATGTAATTGTAAACGTGTTTTTAATGATGGAGTAACTAATGTTGAACATAAATCAAGTTTACCACTTTTTTTATATGTTTTAAAATCAATTTCATATGGACATTCTTCTAATGCTTCATTATCACCATAATCATAATCTTCTTCAACATGAGTTGATTCACTTAATTGAAATAAAATTAAGAAAGAAAAGAAAATTTTTAACTTTAAACAAATCATTGTAAATAAATGATATATCTTTTTTTCTTTTCTTTTCCTTTTTATATCAAACGCGAAATCTTATTATCATAATCTATCATCTTAAATATCAATTCCCACTTAAACGTTATCTATTGAGTAGGAAGATAGATAATATAAAATGATAGCTTTACTGACAAGGTTAAAAATGTTATCTCGATATTATATGAATATAATCGATGAGGTTTTTTTTTATCTTAAAAGATATATTTTACATTTTTGACTATTTATAAAATAATAAATATGAGTGAGATCTTATTTAAATTCATTTTTCTGATATTGCTTGAATAAAAAAAGAAAAATAAATATATAAAATTAGTCTTGAAAAGTAACAATTCTTCCAAATGTTTTATCTGTTCCCCAAATTCCTTTTCTAAGACAAGCCAATTGTACAATTTGACTATGATCAATAAATAAATTTGCATGTGCACCACTATTTTGAATATGATATGCAAATACTTCAGGATCAGCTGCTTCAAACCTAAAAATAAATTTATTTATTTATTTATTTATTCATCTCTAAATAATCAAAAATAAACAAACATAATTTTATCTTGTGGTAAATTTGATGTAATTGATGATATAACATCTGTTCTCCATGATTTAACATTTTCTGTAATACCTTCTGATTCAATCATTATCATCTTTTACAAAGAAAAAAACGAAAATATTTAAAAAAAAATTCTTTATTTATTTATTTATTAAAAATACAAACATATGCACCAGCATCAAGAAATCTTTTAGCACGATCAATTAACCATTTTGGATCACGTGTTCCAGCATTTTCAAGTTCTTCAATCGATGCATCACCACCTGCACCCCATTGAATACCAACTTCTGGTTTAGCTTTTAAATCATATGATAAAACTAATTTAACAAGTTCAGTCCAATCATCAGCAGGAAGACTTAAAAAACCTGAACTAATTTCTAAAACATCAAAACTTTACAAAAACAAAATATTTACATTTTTATTTTTATAAAAAAAAAAACAAACAAATTACCCTAAATCTTTACATGTTTTTAAATATTGTTTAATTATTTGTTTATTTCCAGCTGATGAAGCTAATACTCTTTCAATATAACCACCTGTACTAACATAACAATTATGTTTATGTGCAATATCAATTAAACCACGTAAACGATTTTCAGGCATTAAAGAAAATGATCCACCAGCAAATCTTAAATATTAAAAAATTATTTTAGTAAAAAAATTTCAATTGAAATAAAAATTGACGATAACTTACTTAATTCCGTCAACATATTCTCCCCAATCTTGTAATAATTCATCAAGATAAGTTTGTGTTACTGGAAAATAATAAGGTCCACGAATTTCTGTAATACCTTTCTTTCTGTTTGGTTTTGATGGTAATTTATTTGTTGGTAAATATGGAAATGCTGATGATTGTTTTGAACAATTATTTATTAATCGAATTGATTTTAATAAGGAAATATTACATTGAAGAAAATATCGATAATTAAACATTTTTATATTAAAAGAATTTATCGAATTGCTTTTTTCTTTCTCTATATAAATATTTTATTAAACTAAAACGATTTGTTCATTCGTTAAATATTTCATTTATTCTTCTAAAATAAATAGATGTCACATGTTCATAGACAAATATATTTCTATTACACTTATTCTTATTTCAGGAATAAATCAATTACATTTATACTTGAAAATTAATCTTTTTTTTCAAATCTCTCCTTCTATATATACAGAATATTTCGTATCTTTGCAATACTGTTCTCATTTACTCATTTGTATATAAATCCAATGCAATTTGTATTGAATAATAACATGAATGATACACTCTTCAAATATCTATCTTCAGGCATTTTTTCGATCATTAAACACTGGAATAATACAAATTTATATAGAACATGTTTTAAGTATTAATCTTTTCAAAATAATAATTGTTTAATTAAGAAATATTTATTTTAACTTTAGATTTCTCTTTCTCTAAAAGCAATAGAATTTAAATGCGCTATTTAAAAACTATATAGTATAAGAATAAAAAAAATGAATTGATTTAATTATAAATAATATTTTTACAAGAGACATATATACCAATACTCCGTATGGAGTGGAATGAAACCGACTTTTCGTTCCACAAGTCAATATAACTCCTCTAATGAGATTCCATGGGATGTGTCACACTATAACAAAACTCTATTAATATGGTTTATCATATACTCGATTTTTATAAATACAAAATAAAAGTTATTTCAATACTTTTCTCTACACAATAATATTTTTTCAAAAAAGAAAACTAGAATAAGAATAATATTACCAGTAAAAGAGGTAATTAGTTAAATATCAAGAAATGTTTCATTTCAATTTTTCCATTATTCAAATAAATAATATATTATTCAGATACTCTAGACCGAAACTGATTCTTCTTTCATTTAACATAATACCTGTACAAATGCAGAGATATATGAAAACCAATTGAAATCTACTGTTTCATATTTATTCGACTAAAATAAAATTTTTTTAATAATAATAAGATAGTACAAAATATGTATTTAAAATAGAAACAAATCTATAGAATATCCATAGATAAAATGGTATGCATGAGTTTGGTCGAAAGCCAAAATGTCGAAAAAATTAAAAACGATAGGAATAAGATCTTAGCAGTGTAGCTGTTGTCAGAAATAAATAATAGATAAAAGTATGTTTTTAATTATTTTATTCAAATAATAGTAACAAAATAAATATAACAAAATAATAATAAATAATTATATATGAACTAATAATGATTTATCTGGTATGAGGGCAACTGAGCGAAATAATTTTTCTCGATGAGAGGTATAGACGAAAAGTGAGGGTGAGGGCGAAAGGTGTTTCACAGTTGTGACTTTCGCTTAATGGAAACCATATCAATCTTCTTTCTAGTACTTTCTCAACATCGACTTTACTAACATATTACCTTAAACCATATCCGAAATTTTCGACATTTTTTCTTTCGACTAAAGTCAATACATTCGATAAAATAATAGAATATAAAAAATAAAATCAATTCGAAATATTTAGTTAATTAAGCAAATTCGACAGTATCATCATCATCACCTGGATAATTTTTGAACATAATTTGTTTATCATTATTATCTCTTTAAAGGAAAAACTATTTAGAAAAAACAAATTGATTTCAATCAAAAAAAATACGTACGATGAAAATGTTTTTCTAATTTTAATTGCAATTAATCCTGTTATCCATCTAGCAGTAATATATCCAATAAATCCAAAAAAAATCGAACAAACCATTGGTGCCATTGCACTAGAAAATAATACTGAACCAACAAAAATTCCAGCAATTGACATTCCAAATGCAGATAAACTTCCAAATCCAGCTTGAACCATTTCTTGAAGATAATCTTCTGGACTTATCGCATATTTTCTTGTTAAATTTTTTGAACGATCTTCTTCATAATAATAATAAATAAATAAACGAATTGTTAATATCAATGCTTCCAAAGTAAAAGCTGTTAAAGCAGCTAATCCATTTCCTAAATTAATTTTCAATTAAACAAATCTTAATATTATTAAAAATAAAATCCAATACCTTTAATAATCGTTTCAAAAGGTATTCCTGACATAACTTGTTCTGCTAATTCTAAAATAACAAGAAAAATTTTTTTACTCTTAAATAAGTAAATAAAATAATTTTACGTCGTATTATTTGAAAAATATATTTGGCCGCATTATACATTCCATTAATGAAAACACATTTAATAACATTACAACCCATAAGAACTTGTTCTCCTAAAACATATTCAACACTTGTTGAACAAATAAATGCAAATTGTTCACAATTTTTAAGAACAAGACTATAAGTTTTCCATACATCTCTTTGATGTTTATCATTATAAATTCGCATTGCATTTTCAACAATTTTATCTTCAGGTAGACGTTTTGTTAAATAACATGTACCACTTCGATTTAAATAATATTCCATTGGATCTGCTCTATATTGTGCACAACAAATATCATGTGTATAACTGAATGGATGTTCTGTTCGAAATTGTTTTAATGTAACAATATCTAATCCATGAATATTTTGTTCAACTATCATTAATAATTCAAGTTTCTCAGGAATTAATTCGGATATTATATTATTTAAAATATCTTCTTTAGTAACAACTATTCCATGATGTTGATACATTCGAATTTTTCTCCAAACATATAAATGATCACCACGACGTGGAATATAATCACTCATCACAATATTTGACCTATAACTTTTATTTTTGATCTAAAATAATATTACTTGACATATATAGAAATTAATCGTATGAATAATATCACTAATTATAGCTTTTTTTTTCTTTTGCGTTCTGAAAAATAATATTAATAAGAGCACTATTTCGACTCTCTCTCAAAACAGCACAAGAAAATAAATGTTTTTTTTTCTTCTCTTTTTGCTTATGGTTTTATCATGTGCGCGATGGGTATCGTAGAAAAACATGTAATATAATTTTACTGTCTTCCTCTATTCAATGTTATTGATCAATCGTAATGCAATCACCAAAATACATTTCTCTTTTTTTCTATAACATCAAGCGCCACAATCAACATACAATAATCAATTAAATATTTCTTCATATGATCTATTTTATAAAAGAAATTTATATGAATATGAAAAATTTTAAATATAATCTTAATAAAATAATTCAGAATCATAGATTATTTTTCTTTCGATATTAAAAGAAATATATGTCAGTCATGATATTTTCAACTTTAATAATCATTACTGAAAAGGATAGGGTTTAGAAACGAGAATTGATCTATTTACATGTATTATTTTTGTCGGTAACATGACACATTTGACCATTTTAATTTTTGGTACAAAAGACTACGTAAATTATCGCATATTTTCGATAATATAATTTTTATTCAATACATATAATATTTAATTTATTTGTATTAAAATAATGCGAACTTAGATATTTGAAGTATTTCTTCTTTTAAGATGGAGGAAGATGAAAGTAATATTAATAACAAAAAAAACGAACGTTCGTATATACAGAGTATTATAATGCTTTGAAAAAAAATGTTCACCTGTTTTTATATGGTATGTCGGTCATCATCATTGACAAATATGAAACTTTTAGAAAATACTTGATTTCCTGTTGAAAGTGAAAACTAACATTCATCAACTCTCATTCATATCTAAATATAGTCATATTTGCATGCAGACTGCGACAGTCTAGAGCCAAGTGAATCGAATTTCGATGAACGTATAATAAAATTCTTCTTTGGTTTGTCTCCATAACTTGAAAGGATTTGAGCGATGTTTATTTCAAACTGAAATCTAATCTTGATTTAATTACACAATCTCATGATCTTGTTTATGATTACAAGTAATCAATTGATCACATGTCGCTGGTTAAAAACATTATGCCTAAGTTAACACTTTGTTTATTAATTATCCTTGAAAATATCAAGTACGCAAGAGAGACATGCATAGTAAGAGAATAATGCAAACGAATCTTGAGGATGGGTGTGGGTAATAGGGCCAATATCCACCTCAAGATTCAGCGTTTTGTCTTTTATGACAAATAATAAATGAAATTCTATTATAAAGAGTACACATTACATATAAAATCTAAAATAACATAAAAGCAAGTAGTGCGTCTTCATATAAAGACTGAACATATTTAACGACATGAGTCAGTTAAAAGAAAGTTATTCAATCACTATTCCAACTTCTTTGATTTTACAGATCATAAATATGAATTTTTCTACTTCGTGCGTAACATTCAGGATCTCGTTCTTATTTTATGAACAAAGAGCAAAATGCGACTGTTTGATATATGTAGAAAATATGTTTTAAATCATTAAAAATATTTTTCAAAAATAAAATAACACTGAGTACATTAACAATTATCAATTCATACTTTTTTTTGTAAATATAATACTGTAATTACCGTATAAATAGGTATGCTGGGTAGGTACTTATTTACTAAGATAGAAATAAAAAGATGATGGAAAATATAGTCAGTCAAGTATGAAGAAAGTAATCTTCCGAAAAATGAATCACGTTAGTAATCAATGAAATATTTTGTATTGGCTAATAGATGAAAATTTTCTCTAGAAAAAGATAGAATACAGTATAGTAATATATACATAGTGGGCGGAATGAGTAAAATATTACTCTTTTATTTGTATGAACGATTGCGTAGGTATAGGTTATACATTTATATTAAATAGTGTGTTTGTTTACATTATGTTCGATTGACAGCAAAAGATGGATACATCGATCAGATATATAAAAAAAATATCACATATATAATCAAATATTAGCATTGACATTGAATAGATATCTGAATGTTGATTTTGCTATCATTCATGTTATCAGTAATTGTGCATCTTTGGTCAATCACTAATTTTAATATAAATTTTGATTTTTAAAGAAAAAACTTAGTTTAAAATCTATCAAATTTCTTTTTTCTAGATTATTATATATTAAAATAACAATCAGATATTTTCTAGTAAGTACAAATGTAACAAACGTTAAAATAAGGTTTTTTGAAATTTTTCTACTATTTAATAGTTGGATTCAATTAATATATATTTATAATACAAAAATACTTCTTATATAATTCAGATATAGTTTTGAAATTTCATTTAATAGAGATCAGTTTGCAATAATATAGGATTAAATTTATCGTCTTGCTAATATTGATATTAATCTAGATGGTCGGTGAATGTATAGATATTCAGATTGATGATAAGACAGATATTAGTTTGATTAAAGAAATTTATTTCTAATGATCAATTCATTTTCTTTCGCAACAACAAAAGTAAAGAGAATTTATATAATATATTTTTTGTGAAAAGATTGAGATGATATTCTACTCAATGATATATTCAAATGAATTTTTATTTATAAACATCTTCCCTAGTAACTAAAACTCGAATTTTATTAAAAAAATATATTTATACGAAGGATCATATTTAAAAGGTTTTTCTGTTAAATTATTCTAAAAAAGCATTTTTTCTGAAAAAACATTTCGATAGACATACTACTAAAATATTCTATTCTGGTTTTTTTCTAAAATAAAAACATAATTCACACGTATTTTTTTATTAAAATAATATACTTTACGGTTGATTAGTTTTTTCTAGATAGATGATTATTGTCCATCTAATATGTATATATCTGATGTGTGAAAAAACATAAATAATAAGTATACATATTATTTTTCTCTTAATTAGCAATACATAGATTTATATCATTTTTTTGTTAAGACGTGACATTAACTAATTGCATTATTTAGTGGATAGGCATGTTTTTGTTACATTCTTACGATTTTTTATACAAATCAAAGTATACAATAAATATTTGTTAGATTTTACTGAACCTCGTATGTTTTTATATACAAAGTTTATTAATCTAAGGTCATATTTTAACATTAGTAAGTCATTGATTTTTGACCAAATATAACAGATAAAAGTATTGTAAAATATATAAAAAAAACTCAGTCTTTAAAGTTTATCTGAACTAGTACGTATCGCTTTTTCATCCTTTGTTTTTTAATGAAATCACAAATGCGTAAGGTCGTACAGTGAACATAGATCATATTTATACTATCTTCAACATCAAATCTAAAAGCCCACGCGCATCACTCTTTGTACATTCCCGAGTAGAATAAAGAAGCGTTTGAAAAGCTTCTTGATTCTACTAAAAATGTTTATTATATTTTAACATCGAAAACACTGATTTCATTAATAAAGTATAATATTGTCATTTCTAGTAGAAATAAATTCTATTATGTTGTTTATACAATATCATTCTAACAGTAAAAATATATTGTTATTAAACTTCTCATAAGTATATAAATATTGAGAAACATAACAGTCATCAATTTATAATTAATCATTTCTTCATGTTTTGTCGATGAAAAATATAGAATATATTTTCTTCGATGAATAATTTTCACCTTCGAAATACGTAAAATAAATGAATTTTTAATATAGACATTTATCTGATGATAATTTTTGATTAAAATATGATAAAAATTTTAGATCTATTTTTATATTAATATTCATATTTATTGAAGAACAATGTTATGGAAAAATACAGTAAATATTTTTCTAAATAAAAAATGTTATTTTGATAATTTCCTAGGATAATTCAACAATAATTGTATTTCTATTAATATTAATATTTTCGTTATGTCAAAATATTTTGTTTTATGGTATTCCCATTGAATTACCAGCTCTAATTAATCAATTACCAGAAGGATGGTCATTACCAGCTATTTTTAATTTAGTAAGTCAAGGAGCAGCAATATCACTAATCATTATATTTTTATTACGTCATTTAACCAAATCAAAATCTTATGAAACAATGACAATAATAATAATTTTATTAATATCTATAATAACATTTGTTATTCTTGGATTAATTTGGCATAAAACAATAATAATTAATAATAAATCTCATTCAATCTATTTTTTATTCTTTTCATTTATTATTTATGTTTGTGAATATAGTGGAAGTTTATTATTTCTTCCATATCTTGATCGATATAAAACAATTATGATGCGAGCTTATTTTTTAGGTGATGGAATATCAAGTGGAACATTAGCTATACTTGGTTTTGTTCAAGATTCCGAAAAAACCCAATGTATACCAATTATTACTTCTGCAAATCAAACAATATTCATTGAAAAAACTTCTTCATTAGGATTTTCTGTTGAAACTTATTTTTTTCTTTTATCATTTATTCTCTTTTGTTCACTTATTTCTTTTCTTATATTATCGATAACGAAAATTGGACAAGATAAATCGAATGAAAATGATGAATCGATAAAATTAATTAATAATAATAAGAATGAAATTGAAGAAGAACAAGAAAGTCAAATAATGAATTATATCTTTTAGCTATGTTTTGGTCTTGTTTTATTACTTTTGGTAAATCTTTTTTTTTTATTTTTCATAATTATATTAAATAAATAAATAAATATTTCTTTCTAGGTTTTCTTCCTGGTTTACAAAGTAATTGAAAATAAATTTATTTAAATATAAATTTATTTATTTATTTGTTTAGCTTATGCACTTGCATCTTATTCACATGATATTTATCAAAAAACAATTGTTTCCATTGAAATATCATATTTGTTAGTTCAAATATTTTGTGCAATTTATTCCAATATAACAATAAAACGTTATCCAAATTTAGTTCATATATTTAATATAATTGCTACACTTTTTTTAATTTATATATTTATTATTGCAAAAATGTCTCCATGTCCTCCTTTCATAAATAATATTTTATTAGGTGGTTCAATAAGTGCTTTAATATATGTTGCTGCAAATGGTCTAAATCATATTGTGTATATTTTATTAAATATTCATTTTCATGAAGTATCTGGAGAAAAAGGACTCTTTTGGAGTTGTTTTATGGTATAATGTGGAACAGTTCTTGGTGCTATTCTTAATTATATGTTAACTGTTCATTTTCAACTTTTTAAAGAAAGATTTCCATGTCATAATTATGTATGTTCATAATAATTTGATTATATAACAAAATTTATAATTAACTTAAATGTATTTTCAATTTGTTTTTTATTGTTGAATGTTCTAAACGATGTGGACGAAACTTTGAGAACTAGTATAAATCAATTAAAAGTTAAGTTTTATAAAATAATAATTACAAATAAAATTAACTATATTATTGTTGAACATTACTGAAGATGATATAAAACTCAACTTTTAATTGATTTTATCAAGACCTATCATCATCATTATTATTATTATTTTAGTATAAAAAACATGAGTGATACAAAATATAAATATTAATGATATCAATAAACTATGCCTAAGCGTATCGATAATCATACATATAAGCATATTTCACCAATAAGTGTATATGATTATGTTATCGATATTGTTTTTCTCTCGTCTAAATTTATAATACGCAATTCACCTATGGGCGTGAAGCTGTGAGATAATAACGATACAGAATACGAAAAAAAAGAGAATAAGTTAATCTTCATCACGGGATATGTCCACTTCGAAAATTGTTTTCTAAAACGAAAAATCAATATCGATTTTGAAAAAATGCTTATATTAAATACGGTATATTTCTTATTACTATTATATAAATCGAACATACATAATAGTAAACGGTTGTTTATGGGATGATTTAAAAGTAAATATCTCTGCTCCCTATACAAAACTATATGACTGTTGCTATAATCGACAAATCAATCAACAACATATTATCTTTATCTATTTTATTTTCTATGCTCTTTCTTTATTTCCGATCACGTAAATAAATCAAATCAGTTAATAATATATTTTATTTCATTTTTCATTTTATATGATTTTGATCTGTAGATAAACGAACAATAACATTATCATTTTAATCTTTTGCCTTCAGAATATTTTGTTTTGAAAAGAACATGCAACGATCAAGAGAGAAGTAATGATCGGAAAAACAAAAAAATTTAAATTGATAATAAATAATAAACATATTATTCAAAGAGTGATTGGATCATCGAACTTTGACAATAATGTTTCCCTCTTAGGTATAATACCTATATATAACATATAATGTCATTGTGGTTGTATTTTATTATTGAGTCGATGTTTAACAGGAAATTGCATATTTTTTTGAAAATGCATTCCTTTAAATTGTAATGAAGGAGTAAGTTGATCAAATAATTGAATAGCTTGTGGAATTAATCTATTTTGTGGTCGATATGTTCCAGAATTATTATTTAAATGAAAATGATCATGTTCATCTTTCCATAATTCTCCAGCAAATCTTACATCAATTGATCTATTTGCTAGTGTTATATGTTTACAAAGAATATGATATGTTACATGATAATGACGAGGAATTCGTGCAAATATTAAATAATTACCCGTAATAACAAAATTATAACGGATTTTAGAATTATTTTCAATAAATAATTCTTGTAATAAATCAGTTAATGAGATTTGTAAAGATAATTGTTCACTTGTTTTACTTATTTGACAACGAGATGCATAAATAATTGGTTTTGAATAAAAGAAATGACGTTTTGATGCATTTTTCCATGTTGATGAAGAAAAAGATTTAAGTTTTAATGGTAAATAAGTATTAACAAGTGTTGATGGAAGATTAAATTTATAAATTGGATATTCATCAAAGAGTTTTTCAGTTACATGACCAAATGAAGATGGTAAAGATTTACTTCCTTCTATTGCCATTATTCTATCGAATAAAATTTGATCATTTTCGTCAGTTATCATATTCATATTCTATACATAAATGTATGATACTTTCAATGACACATCATGTAAAAAGGCAGAAAGAATAAATGTGACGTTGTCTGTTTCGCATGATTGAATTTTTTTTCTAAAGTGCATTTCATCGATGTGTAAACATTACTTTGAATTTTTCTAGAGAAAACAATATTAATAATTTTAATTATGATGTTCTTCAAGATATTATTTATACAAATAGTTCAATAAAATTTTTATAAATATTTACAGGCGTCAACACCATTCATAGTCATGCTTTTTTTCTTTGTATATCATGCGATAATATGTGTAACCGAAGTAAATGTCACATGTTGTCTCCCCTTATATTATCAACACTATAAATCTATTTTTGATGATGCATCAACGTATTGAATCTTGTATTTTATATTTTTGATTCTAGATATATAATATTTAGTAGAATAATGTCACTTTATTTTCTCTTGATTTTAATCGATGAATTAATTGTAGTTTATAAAGAATAATAGAAGAAATAATTGGATTGAACACAATTTCCTCAACAAGCAATTCTCTATTTGATAAAAAAACCTGTTTAATAAGTTAATATATTTCAATAATATCAAAATATGTTGTCAATCTTAAATTTACCACAAATAGAGTTCAATTTTTCGAAAAAGTATTTTAATATTTTAATAAAATAAACAAAATAAAAATATAATAAAAAAAAATGTTTAAATGAATTTATATTTAAGATTAACAAATTTGTAAGAGAATTTGGGTGTGGGTGTGGGTGTGGGTGTGGGTGTGGGTGTGGGTGTGGGTGGATGTGGGTGTGGGTGGGTGTGGGTGGGTGTGGATGTAGTTATAGGCAACTTACCCACACCCACACCCTCAAAGAAAATTGACTTGTTGTAAATCAATTTAATTGATTTAAGTTAAAAGATCTCTTTCAATAAAATAGTTCGATAGATATTTTCTTTATATTTAAATAAACATATTCATATTCATATTAGGCAAAAAAAAATAAGAAAGATTTTCGTTATTTTTCTTTATATAAATTAGTATAATCATCATTAATATTTATTAGATTTATTGGAATTTGCAATGAATGATGTAACTAAAGCATCTTCATTTTTACATAGAATCTCTTGTGTTTTT